TTGTATTATCGCAAACTGTTGACTGAAAATCGGGATGTTTGGGTACTTTAGAAAAATAGCTAGGAGCTCAGGCAAAAGAAGAAATAAGACAAACGGGCGTCGAAAATGGAACGCTATACAAAAGTTAAATTTTCAAAAAAATTTGGGGTGAGAGAGGCTCGAACTCTCGACCTCAGGATCACTCACGTCTAGCTATGAGACCTACGCGCTAGCCAACTGCGCCACCACCCCTCTGGTGTTTTGCTGGTAATGTGAATTTATTTATACATTACTAAATGTTAAACAAATCTTGTCTAAAAAGCAAGATCAAATCATATAGTTTCTCATGTTAGATGTACCTAACCAGGAAACTGGTATCCTCTCCCGGTGAAGTGTGCCACGGATTGCCCTCACTCCACGCTCCTCCTGTCATGATCGAGATGCAAACTCCTCTGCAAAAAAATGCTCTTCTTTGGCACTTCACTTTCTACCCGTATCACAAGTCTCAAACGACTCTAAAAAGAAACATCTTTTCTTGACCGGTCACTCGAGCTTACTCGCGAAGTAGAAACAAGGTAGCCCATAATTTACGGTTTTGAGGTTTGGTAAGTCGCCCAAACTTGCAAGATCCGATCACCTCAAATTTGGGGTCACCATTATACCAGCATATAATCTCCCTTCCAAAAGCACCAGCTCCGATCACCCCAAACCTCCCGACGTTCTTCTTCAGAGGCACCCAATGGACCTCGAGCATGGCAAGAAGCCCCCTGCCATCGCCGCTGCGGAGCTGTGCTCGCTCAAGGACAAGCTCGTCGGCCTGCGCCCGGTCCTGCTGCGAGCGGCGGCGGTCCTGGCGACGGCGGTGGCCGCGGTGGTCATGGGGCTCAACAGGCAGTCCTACACTGCCGTGGTGGCCATTGTGGGCACCAGGCCGCTCAGACAGACCTTCACTGCCAAGTTCAGCGACACGCCTGCGTTTGTGTAGGGCCCTCCTTGCTTTGCTTGCTTGCTGCCATTACCTGTGAAATTTACTGACATGTTGTCTCTGTGACGGTAAACCGTCGATTTTGCAGGTACTTTGTCATAGCCAATAGCATTGCCAGTCTGTATAACCTGGTGGTGCTGCTCCTCAGAAGGTGTATTGTCCAGGGAAGGGCCCAGCATTTGGTAGTGCATAGGATGGACATGGTAATTTCTTTTCTCTTAATCATAATTTACCGACTAAATGACACTTAAAATTATCTATAAGCTGGCCATTATTTACTCAAAGAAAACCTCACGCAGTAGTAGTTTCACACTTTCATCAGAGTAAGTACATTTGAACTGTTCCTCATAAACATATTTTAGTAGCGCGGATATCGAATAGATCTACGAGAGAAGCAACCAACTCAATCTAAGAAAGTGTGTTGATCTTAAATGAAGTTTTCCCTACACAATCCAGGCAGATCTGACAAATTTGGAGCCTTCTGTTGGTGCTACTATGAAAACACAGCACTCAATCTAATCAAGAATCTTCTTGCAACTATCCACAACCAGTGGCTTGAGTGAAAAACTGCTGGTGCTGTGCTGCACTTGTATTGTAGACACCTAGTACTGTAGCATATCTGGCAAACACATGATATTTTTTTCCTCCTCCTTGCACTTTCAGTGTCCCAAATAAGATAATCATGGTTGTACTGGCCATTACTTATACAAAACCTCATCCAGTAGTAGTGTCACACTTCCATCAGAGTATCTTTGGACTGTTTCTCACAAAAATATTTTAGTGGAGTAACCAACTTAGACTAAGTGTATTGATCTTAAATTTAGATGCTCCTACACAATCCAGGGATATCTGATAAGTTTCGAGCCTTATGACGGTGCTACTATAAAAACACAGCACTCGATCTAATCAAGAATCTTTTTGCAACTATCCAGAACCAGTGGCTTGAGTGAAACTGCTGGTGCTGTACTTTGTATTGTAGGCACCTACTACTGTGGCACATCTGGCAAATTTCAAACCAGTATTAACGGACGGCAACACATGATATATTTTCCTCCTTGTGCTGTCAATGTCCCAGGTAATCATGGTTCTATTGGCCACCGGTGCCGCGACAGCGGCTTCGATGGCCGAGTTAGGCAAGAATGGTAACTTGCACACGCGTTGGAACCCGATATGCAACAAATTTGGTTCCTTCTGCAACCGTGGAGGTGTATCTCTCGTGTTCTCGTTTGTCGGCGTTGCGCTCATGCTAGCCATGAACTTGCTCTCAGCTGCAGCCAACTCTCCCCGTGCCGTCGTCGCAGGCCAATGAGCACTAGTACCTCAGCTCAGACAGCTGATACCCAAGAGTACACTACACTGCTTATGTCACTGGGATGTGAAGTGATGTGAGCCAGTATGGTTGCATGTGGGAGCTGGATCTCAGGAGGAAGTGTGCTCAAGGCTGCAAGTGTGCTGAATTTGGTGTACAACTGTATATCACCTTGCCTGGCCTGAAATGTGCAGGCAGATAAGCCCTGGTTGGTTATGGGGCTTTAACTAGATCAGCTCTTACATTAGATCAAGTTGTTGCACCATTCAATTCTACTACTTTGTGGTTGTAAACCAGTACTCACAACTGTCCCGGCATTTGGCCGCATTTGCTCAATTGGATGATACATCGCATCGTTCGAGAAGTATGTCTGGTGAGGTTTGGTCTTTCACAACAGTTTGTACCTGTTGTACTGCATGGAACCCTTGTTTTATTACCTGAATAGTGAAGTTGTTTGGAGTTGCTTGAAATGATGCATCCAGCACCAGCCTTAGTTATGGACTTAATGGGGCAAAAATTCAGGAGTTGGTCAGTTGATGTAGATTTATCGGAGAAGGAGCACATGCATGTGAGCCTACCAGGCATCTCCGCAAAAATTCAGTCAACATGCAACTAGGAGCTAAGTGATTACCACCGGTGCAGCACATCAGCCTAACAATCTATGACAACCACAACCTAGTCATAATTCTGAGTTGCCATGGATTTTTCCTTTTAAAAAGAACTAGTATTAGGTGATAAAATTTGCATTATCTTCAGTTCAATTTAGTCTATACATTGGTAGTGATCCTTCTGTCTGCGTTTAATATTATCTACTTAGCTTCAAGATCATTAAACTTTTCTGAAATTTGAGCGGTTTGAGTAAAAAATAACATAAAATTTGGGACCATAAATCATGTGTTAATATGTTTAAAAGTAAATAAATCATGTGTAAAGATAAGAGCAGATAGGGTTACCTAGCAGCTGCCTAGATTCACAGCTTGTCCTTTGTTTTTGTTTTTTTTAAACACAGTACAGACACAAACGCTCATATACACGCGCATACACTCATCCCTATAAACGCACACACGCACACCCTAAACCTATGAGCACCTCCAAAAGACTGAGCCGGCATATCATCTTGAAATTTATGAAGTCACCGTAGGCACCTCTAACCATCCAACCACAGGTTGGTTCGCGCTTGTCCTTTGTTTCTGCACTCTACTCTTTCCACATTATTGGTATGGATGTACAAGACTTGTTGCTATACGCATATGGTACTAGTATTCATGACATGAGGTACCCTGAAAGGTGCCATCAAGCAGAGAAGGGTGGTCACTCTCACTCATGGAGCTGGCCAGCATATGAAGAACAGGGCACTGAAAGAAAAACAGGGCCTTTCAGCATACTGTTCCTCAGTTTGTGTGTCGTCAATTGCATAAATATCGCTGGTGATCCGCAAAATAATGAACCCTCAAATGAAAACTATGACGTTTTGCACATTGACAAGATCTCCGAAAGTGTAACTTTGACCGTTAGTTTCTACTATAATATAATAATAAAACATATAAATAAATATTATAGTATAACAAAGTTCGAGGGGGAAATCTACGCATACCATTTCTACACGCTCAATAAAGATATTTTAGAAGTATTGTGGTAAAAAATAAAATAATATGTTAGTATCATACTGTGTGAAAAAAAATACTATTCCTCGATTTGTGTGTTGTAATTTGCATCTGTCGCTGAATTAATATACTCCCGCCAATCTAGTTACTATTTTTTCGACAATGACAAAGTCTCCCAGGTGTAACTTTGAGTTAGCCTCTACTAGTACAATATAACTATAAAACCTAAATAATATTACATGATATACAAGAATTTTGAGGAGCACATCTATGCATAGATCCACATATCCAAAAAAAAATATTTCAAAAAGTAATGTGGTAAAAATGTAAAATTTTAGACCGAAACTATATCTAGAACGTCAATGTTTTGTGGATCGGATGGAGTAGCCGTAATCCCAAAGTAAAATGGGTTGCGTGCACAATACATATTCTCTTATTTTCCGCACGTACTACCAAAAGAGGTGCAGTTTTTATTGTAGTACTACATGTTATATCATGATGAAGACTCATGGATGGTTATTAAAAATAATCGTAACACATTGTGTGTGCAACCACGCAACATAGTCCCATGATACTTTTCAAAATGAATTTCACCGGCACCTGTTCTGCATCTGGACTGATTCTGATTTTTTGCACAAGCTCCAATACTGGCACAGTACTATTTATGTGGAATTAGTTGTGGAATCAGTTGAATTAATTTGTTTTTGGAACTGTGATAAGCATGCCGATGAGGCTAGTGAGGATGCGTTCTCAATCAACCATGATGTTCATTGAGGGAAGAACATTCAGAATTCCAGACACAAAAAAGGACCGTCAGGGGGACATAAATGATCTGATCTGTCAGATCACTGCAACCTGTACTTCTGAATGTACATACTTCAGCAATCATTAGAGTGTTCTCCAAAAAAAAATCATTCCAGGGTTTTAGTCCTCCAAAATCGACTGGAGAAAAAGAAAATCACCGCGTCCTCTACTAAATACTCACACTCAAGAAACATTGCACCAAACAGACATAATTATACATTTTGATATGAAATCATCACACACACACACACACACTGCAGATTAACTACTAGCTAGCCAGTTGTCTGCTTATGTTTTCTGGATAAATAAGCAAATTCGCCTAGAAGTGGTTCCAAGTAGAGCTCACTACAGCAGCCATCTGAGGAGACATGCTCGGCACCACCTCACCACCCATGGAGCTCAGCTGGCTCAGCACTGCCTTAAGGACCTTCTTGTCACAGTTCATGGCGGGGTCTAGGTAGCTCCCAAAGTCAGGCAGGCCATGGTCCAGGTAGCTCATGCCATTACTGTTGCCTGTCACCATGGGGAGGTAGCTGCTGTTGCTGGCACTGTTATTACTGAAGCTGGAGAAGCAGGGCACTTGCTCAAGTGCTGCGGCGGCGGCGGCGGCTGAGGAGGTGTTCATGGTGGCCTGGAGCTGTGCTAGGGTGGTGTCCATGAGAGGTGGCAGTGGCGGTGAGGAGGTGTCTGTGGATGTGCCATGGACAATGTTGGTGAGGTTCCTTGGCCTGGGGGTGGCACCAACTCCTGATTTCTTCTTGCAGATGACTCTGCACAGGACCCAGTCCTCCTGCTGAAAACACATGGAGGATCAAGAAGAGAGCATTGATTGGTCAGTAGTTCAATGGTAGGTGCAGTCTTACAAGGTGATGTGAATGAGATCTTGGTGATCACTGTCACTGTACTTGCTCTTGGGTGCATCACTTGTCACAGTGAAGTGATGTGGACAGGACCATCCTATGTAACCCTAATTGGTTCATGCATCCAATCAAGCATTTTTCCTTTTTCTTTTGGGGAATTGATAAGATTTACCTTTTACATTTTGGTTACTTTTTTTGGTCACCTCTTTTTATTTGGATTGGATAAGCTTTACCTATTTGCAGCTTGCCAAGAATCTTCTTCTTTTTTTAGGCAAGAAAGCTGGCTAAGAATCTAACTAATCCACTTCACTATCCTGGATTATAGGTGACCAACTTGTTTGCAAAGTCATCACAAGGTTGAAGGTTACATATGAAATTCATTAAGAACTTTGTCAGAATCGTATATTTATTCCTGGTCTCTATCAGTTGTAAGTATGTTTTAGAGGAGCGCATTTGCGTGACTGCATCCATGTGGTGGTGTGTCTACTTTTATGCTTAATCGCAAGACAAATCATAACATCAAGAAAGTTTAGTGCTTCTACTATCTTTTTAAACAATGTTAAACATGAACTTCATTGAACTATTTGAACAATAAAAATCATTGAACTATTTGAGAAGAAAGAAAATGGTACTTCAAGTAGTTGGTATATGTTGTCATTATCCATAACAGCTAACCAATACTATATGTTAACATCAGCCCACCATTTTCCTTTTATTTATTTTAAAAATTAGAACAAATTAGTCCTTATTAAATAGGACGTCTACCGCAACAAAACCGGTGGATGAAAATGACCAGTCCCCCTAGAAAATTAATTGGCAAGTAGCAACCAATAAGTAGATGGATTTTTTTATTTTGAATATAAATAAATGAATAGAAAGTGACAGGTCAAGAAGTCCATCTCATGTGTACAGTACGTCAAACTTGAAAACAACTATTAAATACAAGCTTATACACTGCAAGAAATCTCCTATACGATTGGTTGTGCCCACCCAATTTGTACCTACCTAGGTCATAGCTATGCAGATGAATATGTTTTGCATAACGGAAAATAAATAAATCAATCGATGGTTTTGCACACCACTACTCACTGAACATTACATATGATATATTCATTTGTTTCATGCATGATCTAGGGTTTTAGTGGCAGCTTATTACCTTGGAAGCTTGCTCATGTGCACCCTCCAACCTGTATTCATGCATCACCCACTCAGTCTTCCTCCCTTTAGGGGCCCTCCCTTGGTAGAACACCAATGTCTTCCTCATCCCCACAAGGGCGCCTCGTCGTGCCACCACCCTATCCTTCCCGGTCGCCTTCCAGTATCCCGACACAGTAGCTCGGTTCGTGCGCTGCCCCGTCGCGTATTTCCGATCCTTTAGGCTATAGAAATACCATTCCTTGCCGCCCACCGATGCAGTCACTGATAAGAAACGAAAGATAGTATAAAGATACCAACATGATAAAGAAAGATATTATCAGAAGTAGTAGCCGCTAAGCTATCAAACTGGTCCCACAAATAAACGACGGCAAAGCCCTAAAAAAGCTTGAGGTACCACAACGGGGGTTTCTCCATCATGTGTTCTATCCTTTTGACGGTGACATTGACACGTTTCGATAAAACCGCGCATCCAAGAGACGGAACAGACCACGTCGATCTCATCGACCCTCCCCCCACCTTCTTTTTTTTGTCACAACTGGCCCCTTTTAATGGAAGTCGGCTTATTTACCACTAGAAATAATCGATGAGCAAGTGGTAGAACTAGAGGTTAGAGGGAGACATGCCATCCTAGATGTATCAATCAAGACGTGTATGGCCCATGCTGATCCTCTGCAGTGGAGCCCACGAGCATGCAAGATGGGATTGTGCAGTTTGTCGGGATTAGACAGGGAGAGGGCATGCGTCCCAGGGTGACGTCATAATTGGTCCGGTAATACTGGCTTAATAAATTAAGTATGATGCGTTAATAAACTGTACAGGTGTCGTGGTGTAGTTGGTCTAGCACGTCGGCTTTACACGCTGAAGATCTCCGGTTCGAACCCGGACGATGCCACAATTTTTTTGTGCTCCTTTTTTAACCTAAATAGGTGATGATGACGTCGTACCATATATGCTTGTTGCATTAACACAATCGAAAGGTGTTGTGGTGTAGTTGGTCTAGCACGTCAGTTTCACACGCTGAAGATCTCCGGTTCAAATCCGGACGACGCCAAATTCTTTTTTGCTGGGTTGTTTATTCTAGAATTACTATTACTGTTTTTCATTTCCCTTTTTCCCACTGAACTTTGAAAAAACAATTGCCTACTGAACTTGGTAATGGTGATGGTAGATTGTGCAGCAGTAATTTAAAGGCTGAAATTATATTTTTTTCCCATAAAGTAGTGCATACATTTAAATTGTGAATTTTCACAAAAAAAAAGATTTAAAGGATAGACTTTGGAAATAAAATAAATAGCAACAGAAGGAATGTTGAACCACATGTGAACTAAGTAGATCTTTAAAATTTTCCTCACATCGTCTCACCATCTTTTTTTTCCGGAACAAGCATTATTTGTCTTGTCTACAACACATTATGGTTGATCTATATATTTAGAAGACAGAAATTGTATGCATAAATATAGCGTGTAATTACTAAGATCTATATATTTAGAAGGCCTGAAATTTCAGTACCAGCCTTGGAGTAAATGGAAGATCCCTGCTCTATATGCACTTTTTTCATGAATTCTTATTGGAACACAACGATACAAATTATCGCAAAATATATAGGTGTGTATAAATAATAGTTTCTGCATATTACCCCCTAGCTAGATCAAAGGTTTCTATTCTTATATGCATAAAAGTATAACATGGTGCTCAGCATGCGCGTCGCTAGCTAGAGATCATACATTGACCAAGGGGGACACGAAATAATAGTTTCTGCACAATACACCAAATTAGATAGGATAAGTTACTAAAAATATACGTACGTAAGCTTAGAGATCATTTTTTCTTTCACATAATATAGAAGATAAAGAAAACTACATATGCATCTGAAGGTGGGAAAATGATTTGGGGAGCTGGAATTGTGAAGGACAAGAAAAAGATACTAGATTCGAGTTAACCACACTTTTTCTAGCAAAGTGGAATTGGTAAAGGCTATAACTCTTTCATTTTTGGAAGTCCCCCACTTGACATATTCCTCTATCAGAGCCTAACCAGAAAGCGACCCCCGTTTCAGACTGCCACTTCAAAGATCAAAGATCCTTTAAAAAAATATGCACGCGCATGATCAATCGATAAGATTGCAAATAGCTATGGAACATATAAGAAAAAATCACTAGCAGTTCCAGTTTATGGGCCAATTGCATGCCTACTAGAACTATTCTTCTGTGAAGCTTCAAAGAGTACTCCAAGTCAAGTATTAATAGTTAATTTTTCAAACTTCAAAGACGGTTTCCGGTTCCGAAAGTTTATAATAAATCAGATTCGCTTGGATTTCTATGAGGGAGAAAGAACTCCGAGCGTAGAAGAAACGCTGGAGTTTCTTTTTCATCTTGTCCTTGATAGAAATGAGATAAGACAAAAGGGTGCAGTTTAGTGTGCATGCTATATGTGCACAACACATTGCGGGCTTTGGCATGTTTCTTAGCACGGAAGCAACACCAACGGGGGGAAATAAAAGGAGAACAAAATCAAAGGGATGGAACGAAAAAAGTTGGATTGAACAGAAAAGGCCAAGAACGTTGCATGTGGGACACATTTTCTCTCTCCACCGTCCTCTCTCTCTCTCGCTCGATCGATATGCATCCATGCAAGATCGTACAAGGAATTCTTGATTGCGTCTAATTAATACTAGTCACTTCACATCGGTGCAAAGTAGAGAGAGAGAGAGAGAGAGAGAGAGAGAGAGAGAGAGAGAGAGAGACGTACCAGGGAGGTCCCATGGCTCGACCTTGTTGAGGTCGACGTCGACCATGGGCGGGCGGCGGCCGGAGAAGCCGACCTTGCCGGTGACCTTGGGCGCGAGGTAGTCGCAGATGAGCTCGTCGTCTCTCGGGTGGAACCGGAACCCCGGCGGCAGCTCCGTCTCCACCATGCTCAGGAAGCTCATCGACATCTCTCTCTCTCTATCTCTTTGCTGATGCGACGAGAGAGGAACACGCAGTAGAGAGAGAAACGGAACGGGGCAAGCAAGCAAGAGAGAGAGAGGGGGGTGGAGTTGTGCTTGTGTCATGAGTTCGCAACTTGTGAAGAAAGAGAGGTTTATAAGGTGGTTTAGGTGGTGGGTCTACCTCAAGCCTTTTCCTCTTCACCTATTATTCCTTTTTCTTTATTTCCATTTCGCCTTTTCTTTCCACAAATAAGAGGAGCAGCTTCCATGTCAGCACAAGAGACGACCGGCCACAAGCTAGCTCCACGCATATGCATATGCATATGCCACTAGCAACAGATTTTTTTTTTCTACATTTTTCTCTCAAAGTAATAAGAAATTGTTCTAAAAAAGAGGGGGCAAAAAGGAATATCATCTTGGATAAGTGGAACTGAAAAAGGCTGAATTGCTAGCTATCCAACACCAAAGATAACCAACTGGATCCACTTGTCAATGTGTGGCTATCCTAGCTAGTACTCCTTTCAGTAAAATGTTAAATGCCATTTCAGGAGGAAAACAAAAAAAATCTTTGTCAATCTTTAGGGCATACTATGAAGTAGCCTAGGCCCTAGCTAGTTTGTTTCTCTAGGAGAGCAAGACTTTCTGGTAAAGTAGAAGTTTCTTTTTGGTTTTGAACATGGATAAAGTCAAAGTTTCAAAACTTTGACTAATGATATATATATTTACGATTATTTAGATTTGATACTGAAAATTATACATGTATTTTTTTTCTCAAAATGTACTTTCAATCTTTTATAAACATATTGTACAAAAATAATGATTAATTCGTGTTTACAAGACCGTGTTGATCTCCAAATTGACAACACTTGCATTACCAGAGCGGGTACAGAATGCCACTTAATATGTTTTCTTAATTTAAACACTAGTGATATACCAAAATAAATCTAGCATGATAATCAGTCGTGGTTGTAATGCAATAAATTTTGTCCTACTTGATAGTTAAAACAGCACTAATAATAAGTCGAGGTGGTCTATGTGAGCTTAAACCATGTTTAGACGTAGTCATGCAAAGTACCTAATCCAAAGACTGGTATCAATTTTTACTGAAAATAGATTTTAAACCTTCTTTGAGCATGACTCCAAATATGCTGTGTGAAATACAAAGATATTGAGCTACAACCATGCATACTCTATGATGTGCTGAACACTAATAACATCTGGCATAAAAGGAACACTGATAATTAACCATCATCAGATAATTTGTTATCATATTGTGGTGACTTGCTCTTGCCTGTCTTTTGTCCCACTACTTGAGGTCAACTAATTTATGGTTGTTATATATGCGCGGTTCACCGTGGTGTTGCGTAAAATCAGGCAGAATGGATGACAAGTCGGATAAAAGGTAGGCTCTCCTATAAAAAAAGAGTAGAGATTGATGTTAGACAAAGTGCACGGTTCTATGGTTATTCTCATATCACATTTCCAGTCATTAGTTTTGTCTGTAGTTTGGACTTTGGAGCTTCATCAAATAAAAATTGCGGGAGCTCTAAGAAAAGCAGTTAGTCAAACTAGAAAACACCTATAAAAGGACAGGTTCTACCAGACAAGATTACCGTCTCCACGCAATGTCAAACGGAAACCTCCTCTGTTAGAATCTGAAATCCGTGGGCTTGGGTTAGGTCCACATCTTCGGCTCACCACATAGACCAAGAGGCCAGAGTGAGCAACGATTGATAAATTTTTTTGGGGGGGAATATTCCAAAACAAGCCCAAGGTCTGAGGATTGTTGATGAGCGGCAGTGCTCAATGTGCATGGAGGCAAGAGCCAGCAAGGAAAAGAAAAAGGTCGAGTGATCATAATGTGCATTTCTGGGAGCCGTTTCACGTCTCGTCAATCTGGTGCTGGCCACATCATCCGCTTGAAAATCATACAATTCATTGATCATTCCAAGACCGGCGCACTGCAATTTTGGTTTCCAGCCAAAGGTTGTCGACGAGACACGTAGATCGTCACTTGCACAGATTCAGGGCAAACGGCGCGCGCCGCGCCCCGAGGAACACCGGTCGTCACGTAACCGGGTGTAGCAGGGCGTTTAGGGCGTTTAGGCACTCTGACGTTTCCACCGCAGAACGAACGGCAGCTGACACGGCCCTGAGAGCGAGCGAGGCACACAGGCACGGAGACACCACGCACACAGACAGGCATGGGAGGAGGAGAAACTACCCATTCGGTTACGCGCAGCCAGGGAGGGGGCACCGGCGTATGTATGCATGCACGCGGCGCCGCGCCAAACACCACACACACAAACCTCGTGAGCCCCCGCCGTTGGTTGGTTCCCACCCCTCCCCTGCCTTCTCTTTCAGATAGCGCCAAAGCAATCAGGCCCATCCAGGGCCCCGAACGGGCGGCGGAGATCGTCGTCGATCCCCCCAAGAAGAGAAGATCATCCGTCCACCGTCCGAATCGGCGATCATCCGAACCACGTGTGCCTGCCTGCACCTCGGCCTCGAGCGATGATCTTCCCGTTGTGATGGTGAAGTTCTTTTTTCTGGAGGAGTGGCATATTCCTCTTTAAGATCTTCTCCTATGATCAGAGGCACCAAGGCAAAGTAACCAATCAGTGAACAGAAAAAAGTTGTTCACAGCCAGGCTTTGGAGACGAAGTCAAGCCTGTCAAAAGGCGGTGGCAAGATGGCATCCAGCACGCTGATGCAGAAATGTTAATGTTCCGTGGATCCATCCATATGCAACAAGGCGAAATGCTAAACAAGCTCCTTGACAGAGGCTTGAGTGAATGATAGATGATTGTCCTCGCAGCAGTAAATGGGGGAATTGATGCCCCGCTCCACACCAAGTGAAAGGGACCTTGGAAATGGGCAGTGACAGCAACAGCAGCAACCTCACCACATACCTCATCTCATCTCCTCCGCTCCGCACGGCCGGCCTAACATCGCACGCACGCAGCTGCACTGCACCCCAGTTCAAATCAACTTTTCAGTTACCATGAACCAAACAATCAATCAATCGGCTTGTGCCAGGTGCGCAGCGGGGAACGGCGGGCCGCCCACCGGTCAGTGTTGCAGCGATACCAAAGATCTTGCCGCGGCACATTGACTGGCAAGCACAAAGAGAGGTGAGCTTCCAGGGTCCAAGTGAGGTGTGCTGTCGTTACCTTTCAGACGGTGGCTGCATCAGTGAAAAGCGGAGCGAATTGACCGGCGGCCTTCCATGGAACCTCCGGGTGTACAAATCAGGATAAGGATCTGCGGACGGAAGAGTCGCGACGGCTCTGGGTGGCCACGTCGACGCGGATGCATAGCCGGAAGTACAGGGCGGCGTCGCTCTCACGCCCATGGGCGAACAAATCCTGCACAGAGAACAAGAAAAAGGGGGGCAAAAACAAGTGGGAATACTGCATAGCTCTCTCACCTTCAGGATCACATAGTGACCTGGTAAGGAAAGCTTGAATTGACACATGGAAGTAAAACCGGCCAGTTGTTGCAATTGTAATGCGGCCAAAACAGATGAACTCTTAACTTGAATTCCGGCAGTTGAGTTCCAGTGCAAATTCTCATCTATCAAATGAAAGTTTGTTGCTATTGAGCTGCCACGACGCGAGCAGTTAGGTTTTGCACAGATCTTATCTATCTACCAGTGACCAGGGGTTGTTTTCAACCCCTCACTTTGCATATAATACACTTGTGATCACTTTCCTCTGAACTATAAAACTATGTTGGTGCAAAATGATAGAAAGGACTGACCAACATGGACATGCAGAACTGTAACCAAGCCAATTCTAGAAGTTGCTAAGCTAGCAGAGAGTTCTTAAAACTAATTACAAGATGAAGAGAAATAATTCAATGAGTTAAAAAGTCCTTTAAATAAAGCTCACACAAGCAAGATCAGTGAAGTCGGTGCACCGAAAGAGACTGAAAATGCACACATGCCAGACACACGGGCATGCGTGGATAAGATATGGCAAAACCTGAAACCACAAACACACTGATGGGATCATGTGGCGGCACATGCTTAATAAACGCAAGTCAACCTCTTGCACTGGTCCTCGTCAAGCCCATGTTGGTAACATCACATTCGAAGATCCAACGGGATTTGATATTTTATGAGACGACACGTAACTTTGTAGACAAATGGTCAGTGTGGTTAGGCAACCTACAGCGTATAATGCTTAATTGTCTAGCTCAGCCTAAATGATCAGTCATTTAGCCTACGTATCTAACTATCTATGACGACAAATACTAGTTTACAAACTGTAACAGGATAGGCAGGGGGTGAATTTTTCATTTGAGAAAAGATCCACTTGATATTCTTATTTTCAGGCAGATGTGGTAGTACAACGATTGTTTCACTCTACAGTATAGTAATAAAAATGATGGGCAAATCTATTTGATAAGGGGTACATCAACAAAAAAGAAATCCCTGACAACTTGTCAGTCTTGCCCAAATAACTACATACATATTGCAGACAATATAAAAGGCAACAGCAACTTGTCTGGTGATCATTTCACTTCAAAGAAACAGGCAAGCATGAGCTGAAAGTGAAAGGCCATGGAATTGATCTAGAAGTTGACCTAGCATTTATTGGATAAAGGCACGCTGCTCGAGGGAAATCTCTTGTACATTCCCATATCTGCATTTGCAATATTATTTAAAGTGAGAATGGATAATATCAGATTCTGCAAAAATATTCAATGTCCCAAGCAGACTAGAAAATCAGGCAAGTAACCAATACACATAGGTTACAGCTTGCAAAGGAGCGGTTGGTATATTGCCCAGCACCACCAAAAGAAAAGATGGGTCATAGATTTAAAGCAAAGATCAACTTCAGAGTTTAGATTCATATATATTTCAAGATTAAGACAAACGTGCATGTTTTGCAGACCACATGCCTGTTGGTGGACAAAAGGACAGCTACATGTCCTCGTAGAAATCACTACACAGAATCTATATTTCTTCCCATGCCCGACTAGCCAATAAGGATAATGTTTGTCTCTAGATCTAAAGGAAGAACAAGCACTGCCACACTAGAAGAGTCTGTCTTAGTCTTCAGCCCCAACACACAATTCCATCAACCTACGTATTCAGGCATGAGAAGCATTACATGACTTGGTTCTAAAGGATCACCCGTTAACTTCCAAGCAACTAGTGCCATATTCCTTGGAGACATGGCGGGATCAAACAGAGGAAACAATGATGCTTCAACTGCACTTCCTTGCTCTTGAAGAAACAGTAACCGATCAAGTAAAATATATGTTTCCACCAGTGGACCTAAAGCAGCCCGGAGGCACCAAAAGGGACCTATGAACTCCTGCAAGAATAAAAAGATAATTGTTGAGTTGGCAGTAGATTATCCCCGGGGGGCGGGGGTATCCCAGGTACTACATTTTGTGAAGATGGTTTAGATAACCGTATGGATGGATATTTTATATATTAGCTGTTGAGCACATTTATATTGTGTATGGATACAATCTTAATATCTGATAGCTCCACTGCCAGAAGGCATAGTATGCTACTTAGTCTAGTCCTAGATTAGTTTGTAACATCAGATTCCTGTCCCCATTGTATTAAGTTTGTCACAGTATTAAAATGTACAGGTCAGTTATGTTTTGCCAAACTGTACTGGCACCGACCCACCAACCAACCGCAATAGAAGCACATGTATTATCATTTTATGTTGTCGAGAAACTAATAAACTAACTAATAGGCATGATGTGCCAATATTAGGATTACAGTGCTTTACAAAATACTGCAGACTTTGCTTCAAAGGATCCAGTAAACATACTTATTAGTGCTTATCAGTACCAATATTTTCGATATGAATTCAGTGGTATAATTTTTGTTCCCGCCGCAGTCGGTCTCGTTGGTTAAATGTATGGTCAAACTTAAATCTCGGGAAGCGCTTGCGCACTACATTGTGGAATGGAGGGAGTATCATATAAAACAGGATATCACTATTTTCATTTTGATTAAGAACAAATAGTTGAAAAACAGGTACTGCATTTAACTTCTTGGAAGTATAATACAGCAAGAAGACATAATACAAAATTCAGACTAAGACATACGGAGAAGTGTTGCACATCCTTCCATATTTCGAGTAGATTAACATCTTCCACAAAACCACAGCCAAGACGCCCTAATCCAGAGATTGTGAAATCTTTGAAAAGTGTGAACTTGCAACATTCATCAAGATTGGTGTCACTTGGTCCCACGTTAACTCTTGATATGGATGAACCAACAACTGCTGAAGTTGAGTAAGTATCACCTGCCAGGATTACTCGTTGTCTTTATAAACTAGAAAAACAGACAATCCAAAATAGTTGCAACTTATGAGAGGTATAAAAGTTAAAACCTGTACAAAGTTCGTTGCTGCAACACTCGACAGCCCCTTTAGGAGCAGTTGGTTCTGTGGGCAATGAACCATCTGTATTCATGTTTTGTTCCTTGCAGTTAGGATAGGATAAATCATCAGCTTTCCCCATAGCCGAATGGGATTCCATAACTTTTCGAAGCCTTTGACGGCGCAGAGCTTTTCCTTGCCTTCCAATTGATGGACTCAATCTTGACACTTCAGGGAAATATTTCTCAAGTACCTACAGAAAAGACAACTTAGGAAGTCCCAAAAGCTTCTTGATTTAATCATAAGCCAACAGACAACTTCTTGTCCAACAAAACAGTGAAACTTCTACCAGAACTCAAAAGCTGTTATGTAAGCTTGTGGAAAGAGATCTAGCATAAAGTCCCAATTAATATATGAAGGAACAAATTTTTTCTGTGGTTACAACTTATCCGAGGAACTTGCTGATGCAACTGGTTCAAACGAGACACGCACTCATCAGCAAGTTAAAGTTGGGCGACTAGACCAAATGGAGTAAGTTCACTGTTGTCCAAAACATTTTAAACATCAGGTTGGTCTGTACCCAATATGAAGGGGTGGTAAGCGTAGCAAACAGGAATCATAAATGCTGCTTACATGAACATTAAGGTGATTACAAAGTATAAAGCATACCTTCACTACAAGGTATCAACAAACAGCCATGCCTGACAGCTTTTTTCTTATCTTAAGCACACAAGGTTTTCTCAGTACACATTACATGCCTAGTCATCAAGTAGTATTGAAGAACATGCATATAAGTTGCAAAACAAGACTACCAAAAAGTAAGGAACTGAGTGGAACATCCAGGATTCAAATATGAAGGCTGAAATAACAAAGTATTTACCATTTGAAAAGCTGCTCGGAAGGCATGTATATCAAAATTTTGTAGGGCCATTTCCTTGGTGAGGTTTCTCCATCTTTCTGCGCTCTAAAAAGGATCCACAGAAAGACTATATTAAATAAAGAACAGTAGCATTCGAGACTACCAATTTGGCAGAAAACTTTAGTTCAGCACAAATCTTTCATCCCTAATAGTAGGAGATTACTACTCCCTCCGTCCCATAATGTAAGACGTTTTTTGACACTAGTGTAGTGTGAAAAAAACGTCTTACATTATGGGACGGAGTAGTAAATACAACTAGGAAATGGCTTCAGATATTCTGCTAATGCAAACATAACAACTGTAACTCGCAAGTACTGAATAAGTCTGCTAGAAAAAGACGAATGAAAATGAAAACTTGCTTACATGAACATAAGTTGTTCCTAACTTAGGGCGATGATGCTCTAGACCACATAACTATGTATCGTATAACATGTACTAAAGGAAAACTGGGGGCTTCAACAAAATAACAGACATTTTTTGTAACTTGCGCTACTATGTCTTGTACTTGTCTATGTCTTGACTTTTTACCATCTTAAAAAATTATAATACATCTTTACAAGCAAGAATTGTTGTTATACCTGGCAAGCTAGGTCACGGATGCTTTTGCCAAGCACCAGTTTAGATGATTTAGCAGCCTTGCTAATAGGAAAACCAGGGCAGGTGTCTGTATTCTCGGACAACAAGTTGTAACAGCATCCGACACTTACCAATGCTTGTACTTGTTCACAGGACACGAAAACCCTGCCCACATGACACAGTTACCATGTTGGAAGGACATTCTTTGCAACAGGGAAAAAATGAATATGCAGCATTTTTATGTGTATGGAGAAAAGGCCACACTACATCAATTCAGTGTGTTCCCATGATTGCACAAAAAGACCAACCTTAGCATATTAACTGAAAGATCACCACAGGCATGAAGACCAGCAAGGACTAATTGAGGAATGCTAGGATTTGGTTGCTCAATCTGAGGAATACTCTGATTACAGTTGTTAGTTTCTGTTATATGTTCACCATGGTCATCTTGACATGCATCCAACGTCACAGCTGCCAATGTGTCACTAGAAAGAACATGACAAGTGACAGTTCTTGGCACTTTGAACTGTTGCTTCTCTACACTGCAAAAACAACAGGAAGCGATTTGTAGAAACAGAAATCAACTCGGAAGAAGTCAAGGTAATAAAACTAAAATCTAATTTGACAAAAAGTGTACCATTTAGCAGCATAATGCTTCTTTATCCTCTCTGCACGAGTATTTGTAACAGACGCATGATGTGATGAAGCATCTATTGCTATAACGGCGAGTTGGTACTCAAAGGATAAAGCTTGTGCAAGATAACCCTGATAAGGCAATTAAACAGAATAAGAAACAAATAAATGGAAATACAAATTATGAAGAATTTGAAGTTTGCTGTCGTTCCCAAAAGAATGTACAGTTCCCACAGTGTAAATCCATGGCTTTTAAGCTTCCATGGATAGGCCAAGCAAAGCATGGCATACGTTTGTACTTTCTAACAGCAATTCCTAGAAAAAATATACTCCAGATGTCTTTACACTTCCATGGTAGGCCAAGTAAGAAGGTAGAATATACGTTTGTGCTTTCTAATTGCACCACCTATAAAAGATACTCCAGGTGTCTCTTTACATTTCGATGGATAGGCTAAGTAAGAGGTGCAATATGTTTGTGTTTTAAATTGCAACACCTAGAAAAGAAGAATACTCTAAATAAGTTGGCCTTAACATGGACCTGGTATGTTTCTTATTTGTATCCAGCATAAATTGCCTGCTCAGACTTGGCTAATACATAAGTTTGATGCTTAAGATGGAAAAAAGCATGAATGGAAGAAGTATTTCATAGGGTTTTATTTAAATATCTGAGAGCGATTACATGATTTTAATTATTTTTCTCAAATGAAGACTGGTTGTAATTGTGAAAAGACTTTCAAGTGCAAAGTTGATACCTGACCAGAACCTACATCAACCACTGTCTTGGCTCCACGACTCCTAGCAATTGCATCAACGATCCCAGATAGGGCTTCAATCTGCATCAAGCAAACCTCTCCAAACATGAGAATGCAAAGAGCTAAAAAACTGAATTTAACTTTGGACGTAGATCAAAAAAATAGTTAACAGGAGTATGTTTATCATTACAAGCTAATTACCTACTTCGTGCTTCTTCTTAGAGTTCATGCCTTGAGCAAGAACAGTACCAATTGATGCGACGCGCGAATTAGGTAAAAACTGCAAATTATTCAGGAAAAGGTAGGTCGGGATTAAATAGATGACAAAACGTGTGTGCCTTTTACATTGAAAATCATCCCAATTTCCACATGTAAACCATGCAATCTGAAATTGCAACGCAAAGTAATATCAACAAAACCAAGCCAATGCAAACTAAGCAATGGGGCTGGAGGTGCAGCATGTGCAGAAATTTTGCACTATATGAAGTACTATTCAAACTCCCTGCTAATATTGCCGCTTCCTAATAAAATGCTAGCATGAGTATTTTTCTCAAGAAACTCACCAAAAGGGAAGGAGCTCTTAGGCTTAACAAATACGAATATTATTGACCAGATAATTAAGGGAAACCCGGCTGAAAACCATGAGTAATACACACTTGATCTGATAGGTGCAGGAAACGTACGGATTGTGGCGATTTTTGCTCACGTGGAAGAACAAGCGACCTCGCAGTGAGTATAAACTCCTGTAGTGAACTTGGCCAATGGTCCTGTAAAACAATACTCAACCACTCATATTCCACTTCCAGTAGAAGCAAAACAGAAACAGAAGGCAGGTTACTGAAAACAGGAGGCGAGGGCCCTTGCCTGGACGCAGCCGGAGGGCAACATGAGCAGGCTCTCGACGGGCTCCCGGCGGAGGCACTCCATCCAGTCGGCGTCCACCATCTCCCACAGCCTATCCTGCTCGGGCCGAATCCAAAACCAAACACCTCAAACGCGTCAGCAAGATGCACGTACAGTACACCGCAGCAGCAAAATGGAGGAGGGATCCCCGCGACCACAAGCACGCGGACCCTAACCGTGCTCCAAGAGGAGGTACAGGCACTACAATCAATCTCGCTTCGGGGGAGTGAGAGAGAGAGACGGGGAGGGGAGGGAGTGGACCTTGAAGAAGTTGACGACGTGGGCCTCGAGGAGCGGGCGGTGCCGGCCGAGGAAGGAGGCGATGGCCTCCATCCACTCGCGGGTCTGCTCCGGCGTCTCGCACGACCGCGCGCCGCCAGTCGCCGGAGACGCCGCCATCGCGAGGGGAGAAGTGGTGAGCGAAACTAGCACAGCGCAACGAGCTGCGAGCGGGCCGGTTTCTCTCCCGCCTAAACGGGCCGTTCTGGGCCGAGAGGTGGGAGAACACGCGTCGGTCTGGGCCGCACGTCGGCAAACCAACAACCAACAGCCAAGGACGACGGATTCTCAAAAAGAAAAAATGACGACGGATTTCGTCTCAAAAAAAAAAACCCGACGACGACGGACGGGACGGACATGCCGATGAGGGCCCCGGTCAACGTCAGAAGACCACGGAGTGACTGGGTACCGACACCGGCAGGTGGGGCCGGCGACGTAAAAGCTGCCGACGCGCGTCGTGCCGTTATCGCTAGCTAGCTCGCACTAGCAGGCAGAGAAGAAAAACAGCCTAGCGAAAGCGCAGCAGGTCGCATCACATGTCGCATCGCCGTCAGATCTCATCAACCGACCGATCTCCGGCACTGTTGGCCGGGAACAGGGAAATCGGAGCCATTAACGACCTTCTCTTTTGGTCTCTTCTCCGTGTAGTATTTTATAATATTCCTATGCCCCGTTCTTCTGCCAGAATCTTTGAGCCTTTCTTTTTTAGTTTTGGATCATGTTTGCTTGATCTTGTTTATGCTTTTTGTGTGTGAATGAAGTAGTAGCTGGGGTGGCATCATGCGATGCAATTGGCTGGTACATGGTGACAGGAGAAAGGTGCGAAAATGAAGTGTCAAGCATCAACCAGGAGATATTGTGTACTTGCTGCCATTCGAATAATACTAATACGGAGTAATTTTGTGTTGCGTTTGGATGCCTATTACTTTGTCTACACGAATGTGTATCCTTATGGTGAGATTATGGGATCATGATGCTCAAAAGATGGAGAAGGAAAGAGATTACGGGGATCATGAACAGTTGAAGTGGTTGTGGTTGACGAAAACAACAAACCACAAACAGCCCGACACGCCAAGATGAATTTCTTACAAACAGGCGTGTGGAGCAATTTGATATTACCTTGAGATTTAGTGTCATGTTTATTCCTTTTGCCTTGTTGACATAGTTTAGTAGTGACATCGCCATATTCAACCAAAAGTGTAAGCATAAGAGTAGAACTAAAGCACGTACACACAATCTGAATTATGTATCCCAATGTGATTAATATGTTACCTTTTCCATTTAAAAATATACATTGCAAAAATAATGTCGTATAACGTGTTCTGCTCACACTTAAGAAAGAGGTTCGCTGTCGATATTACTTCGATATTATAAAGAATGGCGGAGTACCCGCCTTCTCGAGCATCCTATCTCACGAGTGCCCTCCACACCATCCATCTCGTGCACGCCTCGCGCCAATTGCTGCCTAGCGCCTTCCCCATCATCCGGTCTTCGCGGGCGCTCCACATCGTGCTGATTTCTTAGGGGGTCCATGATGCGTGGGCCGTATGCGCGATCTGGCCACCTTTCTGCGGCAACTTTCGTTGCACATGCTTGCGTCATCTCGTACGTTGCACCGCGTGCACTGAGTGAGGGCGGGTCGGCCTGTAAGCATCATTCATCTCCTGCCATGTTGTTTGCCTCGCGCAAGCTGGGTGCGCGTGTGCGCCCGGGTCAGCATTTGAGCATCGTTTCATTTGCTGTTGGATGTTTAGTTTGTGCGAGTCGGGTACGCCCGCTCGGCCGGGAATCATGTGTGTGCTTGGTCGGCCTGGCTCGTTGCGGTGTGCTCGTGTGTTCGTGTGGCCCCCCGTGTCTGGTGCTATCGGCTGGTTGTTGATGGGGTGGGCTTGAGATTCGCTCTATAGATGGGTGGCTTCGTCTCGGTTTATCCCGGGCTAGTAAGCGCTGGCGGGTGGATCCTCCGGGGTATGTGAAAGTGCATTGACACTCAATTACTATTTTGGCGTTGATAATAATAGGATTAGTGAGATCTAATGTTGGATATCATGTTTATCTCAGAACATTGGTATCTCATGTATGTGTGTGCCTACACACTACAAAAAATACTTCCATGATGATACGTATTTATCACAATAGATCACGATTTTTGTCATGCATGTACATCTGTGGCGATTTTATGACAGGATTAAGATAGTCATACATGTGCTGTCATAGAAGTGTTACATGAGAATACTCAAATTATCATCACGAAAGTGACCACTTCCATGACGATAAATGACGTGTCATGGAAGTGTTTTCGTCAAGGGTAACCGAGTCGTCGTTAAGCTATTGGGTTCTGATTTGGATCCGATAACCCGTCAACAGTTCGGATCAATGGGGATTTTCCATGTGCAAAATTCTCATTGGCCAAAGAAACCACGTGTCGGCTAGGAGTCATGACAGATGTCATTCATCCAATGGACGAGACGGGCCTATGAAAAAGTGACACATGCCACGGCCCAACAGTAGCCCATTTTAGGTAAAAAGGTCGGCCCAGTCAAAGGCCCATAAGATTTACTCAGGTACTAGTGGGCCGGCCCACTAATGGCCTACTTAAACATGGCCCATTTACGGCCCACCACCAGATTTCCCCGTTAATTGTTCGCTCAGTCTTAGGGCCTCATTACAACCCAATGAGTTTTCAGCCTGTTAGAGGCCCGATGTAGAAATGGACCCATTTCAGCAAGGTGTGTCTTTCGGCCTAATAATGGCCCGTACTGCACATTGTTGGAAATATGCCCTAGAGGCAATAATAAAATGGTTATTCTTATATTTCCTTGTTCATGATAATTGTCTATTGTTCATGCTATAATTGTATTAACTGGAAACCATAATACATGTGTGAATACATAGACCACAACATGTCCCTAGTGAGCCTCTAGTTGACTAGCTCGTTGATCAATAGATGGTTATGGTTTCCTGACCATGGACATTGGATGTCATTGATAACGGGATCACATCATTAGGAGAATGATGTGATGGACAAGACCCAATCCTAAGCATAGCACAAGATCGTATAGTTCGTTTGCTAAGAGCTTTTCTAATGTCAAGTATCATTTCCTTAGACCATGAGATTGTGCAACTCCCGGATACCGTAGGAATGCTTTGGGTGTACCAAACGTCACAACGTAACTGGGTAGGTATAAAGGTGCACTACAGGTATCTCCGAAAGTGTCTGTTGGGTTGGCACGAATCAAGACTAGGATTTGTCACTCGGTATGACGGAGAGGTATCTCTGGGCCCACTCAGTAATGCATCATCATAATGAGCTCAATGCGACTAAGGAGTTAGTCACGGGATCATGCGTTATGGAACGAGTAAAGAGACTTGCCGGTAACGAGATTGAACGAGGTATTGGGATACCGACGATCGAATCTCGGGCAAGTAACATAGCGGTGGACAAAGGGAATTGTATACGGGATTGATTGAATCCCCGACATCCTGGTTCATCCGATGAGATCATCGTGGAACATGTGGGAGCCAACATGGGTATCCAGATCCAGCTGTTGGTTATTGGCCGGAGAGATGTCTCGGTCATGTTTGCATGGTTCCCGAACCCGTAGGGTCTACACACTTAAGGTTCGGTGATGCTAGAGTTGTTATGGGAAATAGTATGTGGTTACTGAAGGTTGTTCAGAGTCCCGGATGAGATCCCGGACGTGACAAGGAACTCTGGAACGGTCCGGAGGTGAAGATCGATATATTGGACAAAGGGTATTGGAGTTCGGAATTGTTCCGGGGGTACCGGGTGACGACCAGCGTGTCCGGAAGGGGTTTCGGAGGCCCCGGCAAGCGTTGGGGGCATTATGGGCCAAGGGGAGGGGGCACATCAGTCCACTAAGGGTCAGAGCGCCCCTCCCACCCCATCTTACGTAACCTGGAGAGGTGGGGCGCCTCCCCTAGGGCAGCCACCCCTCCCGGCTTGGGAGGGCAAGTTTCCTAGGGGTGGGGGCGCCCAAACCCATCTAGGGTTTCCCCTGTGGCCGCCGTCCCTCCCCTAGGGAAACCCTAGGGCGTCTCCTCCTTCCCCTTCCCCCTATATATAGTGAGGGAGAGAGAGGGCAGTCGCACCCCTTCCCCTGGCGCAGCCCCTCCCTCCTCCAACACCTTCCCCTCCTCCGTAGTGCTTGGCGAAGCCCTGCAGGAGAACCACAAGCTCCACCACCACGCCATCGTGCTGCGGGAGCTCTCCCTCAACTTCTCCTCCCCCTTGCTGGATCAAGAAGGAGGAGACGTCCTCGAGCTGTACGTGTATTGAACGCGGAAGCATTGTCCGTTCGGTGCTAGATCAGATCTTCTGTGATTTGAATCGCTGCGAGTACGACTCCATCAACCGTGTTCTTGTAACGCTTCCGCTTAGCGATCTTCAAAGGTATGAAGATGCACTTTCTCTCTCTCTCTCTCTTGTTTCTAGAATCTTCTAGATGGATCTTGGTGATAAGTAGGAAAATTTTGAATTATTGCTACGTTCCCCAACAGTGGTATCAGAGCCAGGTTTATGCGTAGATTCTATGCACGAGTAGAACACAAAGTAGTTGTGGGCAATGATTTGCTCAATTTGCTTACTGTTACTAGTCTTATCTTGATTCGGCGGCATTGTGGGATGAAGCGGCATGGACCGACCTTACACGTACGCTTACGTGAGACAGGTTCCACCGACTGACATGCACTTGATGCATAAGGTGGCTAGCGGGTGTGTCTCTCCCACTTTAGTCTGATCGGATTCGATGAAAAGGGTTCTTATGAAGGGTAAATAGCAATTGGCATATCACCGTTGTGGTTTTTGCGTAGGTAAGAAACGTTCTTGCTAGAAACCCATAGCAGCCATGTAAAACATGCAACAACAATTAGAGGATGTCTAACTTGTTTTTTGCAGGGTATGATATGTGATGTGATATGGCCAAAAGGATGTGATGAATGATATATGTGATGTATGAGATTGATCATATTCTTGTAATAGGAATCACGACTTGCTTGTCTATGAGTATGACAACCGGCAGGAGCCATAGGAGTTGTCTTAATTTATTCTACGACCTGTGTGTCAATGAGAATGCCATGTAATTACTTTACTTTATTGC